CGGTCTATGCTCAGGTTCATAATGTGGGTAACACACCATTTGCTAACTAACACCCATGGCTTGCTTCATCGTTTAGTTAATAAACAGCAAGTGTAAATCATGAACCACGCCAGCTAGATGCACACGACTTAAACAAACCACGTTGCAACACTGTATGGTGCGGCTAGATCTGGTTTGCAAAGGACCACAGCACCTGAAATCTGGTTTGGAGGACTTCATCACTTGGATTTGAAGCAGAAGTGTGCAAGATATGATAAACATCCCATTTGCAAAGATCTTTTTTTTTTTTAAAAAAAAGTTGCATTCTGTCTCCTATGTTTACCCTCAGAAATGGAACTGTCAATCTAGCCTCAGGCCTGGGTATAAATTCTGCCCACAAGAGACCAGCGCAATTCTGAATCTCTAAGGAAAAACTGCCAACTGTGTCAAGCAGCTTCCTAATCTGGCCCCCTTCCCCTCCAGGACATATTGCACCATCTTCTGAACTTGGAAAGGAATCGACTATTATTCTCAAATTCTCTCCAGCTCCTTGGGGGGCGGGGTTTGTTTCTGAAGCAAGCAGCAGCCTTGAAACACGATGAAGAATAATGCATGTACCTGTGGCACACCTTGGTTTCAGAAAGGGCCGCAAACATGGAAGTTAAGTTAAGACCAAGCTTTCTATTATAGTTCCTTCCTACCACCAGGCTGTTGGGAGACAGCTACTGTTTAGAAAATACATGATGCAAACCCAAGATTCTTTCATAGCATGGATCTTTCAATTGATTGATTGACTCTCTCTATATATTACTATGTCTGTCTGTCTGTCTGTCTTATCTATCTATCTATCTATCTATCTATCTATCTATCTATCTATCTATCATCTATCTAGAAATATAGAAATATAAAAACATTTTTAAAAAATCTATCTAGAAATATATAAACTTTTAAAAAATCTGTCTATTCATCTGTCTCTGTCTATCAATTATCTATCTATCTATCTATCTATCTATCTATCTATCTATCTATCTATCTATCTATCTATCTATCTATCTATCTCTATCTACCTACCTACCTACCTATCATCTATCTAGAAATATAGAAATATTAAAACATTTTTAAAAATCTGTCTTATCTAGAAATATATAAACATTTAAAAAATCTGTCTATTCATCTATCTGTCTGTCTCTGTCTATCAATTATCTGTCTATCAATCATCTGTCTACCTACCTACCTACCTACCTACCTACCTACCTACCTACCTACCTACCTACCTATCATCTATCTAGAAATATAAAAATATTTTAACAGATGGCAGTCCAGTCTTTTCTTGAAAGCCTCCAGTGATGAAGCTCTCACAACTTCCGAGGGCAACTTCTGTTCCACTGGTTGATTGTTCTCAGAAAATTTCTCCTTATTTCTATGTTGAATCTCTCCCTGGATCAGTTTCCATCGATTATTCCTTCTCTGGCCTTCAAAGGTGCTTTGGAAAACAGCTTGACCCGCTTCCTCCTCTCTGGGGCAGCCCCTCAAACATTCTCCCCTGGTCCTTCTCTTCATTAGACTAGCCATGCCCAGTTCCTGCAACCGTCCTTCGAATGAGTAAGCAGGGTCTCTGATCGTGGTTAGAGGTTAGGGAACCTGGGCCTGCCTCTCTCATTCAGCTGCTGGGGCTTTGGCAGAGAAGCTGTTTTCCTCTCCATACTGGCCAAATACCTCCCGCAGCTTCTGGTGCTGGGCCAGAGGAAAGAGGATTTGATTCTGCAGCTGATTCTGATTAGGCTGTATTGCCACTAATGATAATGGTCCAAACTGCATTGATCTTTAAAAAAAAGAAGGGGGGGGACACTTAATAAATTCTATGGACCACCACTGAAGGGGAGTAATGAAATGCAGCTGTTGGAATTAACAATCCTTTCTTGGACTCGGGAAGCTTGGGTGAGGCCTGGGAGGAGAATCTCCTCTGGGGATAGCAATGCTTTATTTTATTTTATTTTTTGTTTAAAAAAAAAAAAAACCAAGGCCATTCTCATTCATCTCTGACCTACAGGGTGTTAGGTGGGAGAACTAGAAGGCTTCCCAGCAACAGATAAACAGATTTTTTTTTCCTCCCCCAAAACGGGTGCTAATGTGACTACACTCTTTAGCCTTCCTGCTTCCTCTTTCCAGATGCAACCGAGAGGACAGTCAACTTGAACGCGAAGCAAATCCTGCCTGGATGCCCCATCCCCTGCCTAGACACAAGATGCACGATCACAAAGCAGAGAGAAACGCGAACGTTGTTTTTTATGGCCCTGTAATCTTCTTTTTTGGATAGAATCTGGGTGACGGGATAGAGCTGAGCATGAGAATTGGAAGAGAAAAAAGGAAGAGAGGGAGGAAGGAATGGAAGGAAGGAGGAACGGAAGGAGGGAGGAAG